TTCTTTTTTGCTTTTTATGCAGACAATTTAACAAAATTGCTCAAGAAGATTACAAAGTAAGTATTCATATATGACATGAACATTATGATTTTCAATTCAATTGTGTTCGCATTAACTCTTTGCTAATTTTTTTTTTTTTACAGAAAAACAATTTGCAGGTAGAGTTTCTTGGCTACTACCTAGCAGAGCTAAGTTTATTGGATTACAACTGTGTGAAATTCTTGCCGTCTTTGGTAGCTGCTGCTGTGATATTCCTTTCAAGGTTCACGTTACAGCCAATGTCACATCCTTGGGTACGGATTTTAATTTGATTCAAACTTCACTTATGTTTAGTTTCTTGATATGTTTAATTGCTGAGTTAAGTCTATTCATTATACAGAGTATGGCCCTTCAACGTTGCTCGGGATATAGACCAGTGGATTTAAAGGAATGTGTTCTTATCATACACGACTTGCAATTAAGTAGAAGAGGAAGTACTTTGGAAGCTGTAAGGGACAAATACAAGCTGCATAAGGTATCATTCCGCGTGTGTTTGATAATTGGTGATTTTGTTGTAAATACTGTCATAGTTCAGTAGTCTGATGTGAACTGTATGATTTTCGTGTAACAGTTCAAATGTGTTTCAACATTGTCTTCTCCTCTGGAAATACCGGATTCATTCTTCGAGGATACAAGACAATGACTACTTGGCCATATGCTTGGGATTTGGAATAGGACTACATTCTTGGATTTTTGTTTTTGGTTAACAGTATATTCTATTAACGACCAAAATATGTACATTTACAAGCACTGAAGAAGTAGTGCAGGGGATCTTGAATACCTGTCTTCTTCTGCAGTCTTTCGAGTAATCTTGACATTATCTTCTTCTCGAAAAGCTGCAATACAATTCAAATCTTCAGGATTTTTCATCCTAATTCTAGTGTCGTTATAACTAACAAAAATGTATTAGATTATGTTGCTCAAATAACTTTGGCATGATGATCTTGCTTCTTCGTGAATCATGATGATCATCGCAACACCCTATTAAGATGTACTCTTCAAATCCAAACATGAAGAGGACAAACTTTTTCGCTAAACTGGAACTCGAAAAACACAAATAAACTAGAAGAATATAGATGAAATCGGGCACTATAGCAATAGCTATTGTTCTTTCCGTTTCAAATCTTTTATCTTATTTTTCTTTCTAGTCTGTTTTAAGAAAATGTTTATTTTCTTGTTCTTTACATCTTTTTAGTTCTAGCTTTACATATGTTATGTTTAAAATTACAAAATTTAAACGTATTTTGGAACATTCTACACACTTGAGTTAACTCGATAACAACGGGAGTTTATGAAGATGTAAACATATTGAATCTTTTAGTGAAGGAAAAATCATTTTTGGATGAAAAATAATGCCTACAAATCATGGTGTAGAAACACACTCCATGTCAAATCAAAATCAAACAAACAGATAAATCGAAACGATATAATATACTAGGATTTCATTTATGAGTAGGGTCAAAATCAAACGAACAAATAAATCGAAATGATATACTATACTAGCATTTTATTTGTGAAAAGGATCAAAATTAAACAAACAAATAAATTGAAATGATATAATATACTAGGATTTTATTTATGAAAAGGGTCAAAATCACATCTCTTACTTTTGTTTATGAGTACTAGTTAGGTTCGACTTATATTATTTATCGGACCAAATATACCCTCATCGTTATGAAAGTATCTAAACATACTCCTATTTTGGACAAAAATCTCCAAAAGACTCCCGATGAACCCTTACTTTCTCGAAGGGTCAACGAGACATGGAAAGCCTCAACTCATACATTGATTTACCGAAATAACCTCTGCTCTCCCACTTCCTTCTATTCAAAAAGGCAAGCAACCCTTAAACAAACATACCCGATTTCATAAACGATCGTAGAAGGGTATTTTTGACCATTTTCCTTTTTATTCATCTATAGACCCAAAAAGTGTAGTCCTAGTACATAAAAAAAAGAGAAGGAAACTCAAAAAATAGAGGAAGGAAATAATATATATATATATATATATTTTTTTTTTAAGATTTCAAAACAAATTAAATACTGAGCTGTTTTTGTACCATCTCACCATTGGCCCTCACTGTTCCCTATTTGTGGGTTCTCAGTAAAACACACAAAGCTCAGAAGGGTTGTAGAAAGCTAACAATGGTGAAAGCGGGAAGAAAAAGAGGTGCACCAGCTGAAGAAGAACCAAATGACGGAGCAGTAGATTATGAGAAGCAAAGGGCTGAGAGAATCAAAGAGAACAAAGAGAGACTGCACAAACTTGGTATTCTCGAACTCACAAAAAAACTAAATCCCCCTTCCAAGAAACTCACCACTCCTCGAATCAGCCGCCGGGCGGTGTCAATTGATGACCCACCTCGCCGCTCTTTTAGGTATTGACTCTCATCCTTCCTTAGCTAGAGTTTTCGGGTTCGAGTTTTTTAAAAATGAAATAAATTTTTCTAGCTTTATAATCCGGCAATGGGTGTCTCAAAATTGGGAGATTTAACGAAGTATCGAACACCGGACGGAAAAAAAATTGGGGCTTGCGGCCCCAAAGGCCTGATTTAGTGTTTTGACCCTCTGGCTGGCCCTGATTTTGATTTTCCAAAAAAAAGTAGGAGAAAAGGTTGAGTTGGGTTTGTTCTTATTGCAGTCTTTAATGGATATAAAATGTTGTCTATATGCTGATATTTTGGTGTTTGATTGGAAATAAATGTAAATAACAACAATATACCCAGTGTTCGAAAGAGTGAATGCAAGCCTTATCACTACGAGTCTGAGGTAGAGATGTTGTTTTTGAAAGACCCTTAATCAAAGCAGTAGTCAAAGGAAAAGCATGATAACTAATAGATATGTTTGACTTATTGAGAAAACGGAAAAGAAAATTGCGAAAGTTTTGTGTATATATTTCATGAAACCAAACGAATGCTCGTTTATGCTTAGTTCGTGTATGATGTTTTCTTTTTCCTATGATCACCTTTTTTCATGAGATGTCTTTCAAAATACTCGTGAAAGATGTTCTTTATCAAATGATTTTTAAATGTTTTTAGGTTGAAGGATAAGCCTCCAGTTAGTTACATAGAAAGGATGATTCCCAAGACAGATAAGGTATCAAAGGAGGATGTGGAGATTAACATAGGAGAAGGTGAAAACCCTGAGTTCTACACAGAGGAGCATGAAAAGCTTTTAGGTGATTGCCAGAATGCTTGGACTCTCTATGTTGATGGTTATGGTGAAGATGGTCAGCGTGTATATGATCCTGATAATGGCAAGTCATGCCATCAGTGCAGGTCTAAACATTTGTTCTCACTGTTCGTTTTTATGTTGTTCTATTGCTTAGTTATCATTTATTCATATCTGTTCCCTGAGCACAGTTTCTTAGAATATATATCACTAATTTAGGCCTCCTTCCATGGGATGATGAAGATGATCAAGTCTATGTTGTCTGATTGAAATATTTCTTCTCCATTTAGCATGAAAAATGAAGCTTTTCTTCCCATTGTGGAAGCTAGCTTAAAGCATGTGGTTGTTAAGATTGAATATAATATTGTCTTTGAATTTCGGGCATGAATATTGTTAAAGAAATTTGTCCACAAGCATGCATATCAACTTGAATATTCAATGTGTTGTATTCATCTAGAGTTGAGACCATTTTATTCGTGATATTTGTCTTAAAGAGATAGCACAATAGGTGTTCATCATTAATGCATTTTGCATTGTTACTCTGATTCGACATTTACCTTTTCTTATCAGTACTTAGAATTTCGTAAAACAATTAGTTCTGCTGCCAATTTCATGAAAAAACATCCTTCTCTCTATGATCAAAATGCAGTCTATCTAACCTTCGCTGGTTTCAATTTATTACTTGATGTGAACTCCTAAAAATATTTGATACAATTGCAGGCAGAAAACTCTTGGTCAACGCACTGCGTGTAGCAATTGCAAGCTCGGTCAAGGACAATTCTGTGGAGATTGTCTGTACATGAGGTGATAACTCTTTGATATCCTCTTTAGCCTTTTTTCTGTAGTATTCCCTTTAGTAGCTAATTTTCTATCCCGAACATATGGGTGTTACTTCAAACGACAGTTTCCGATGATCTTAATGCCCATGTGAAATGTCTGTGGATCTAATATTTGAGCTTGCACATGATGTAGGTATGGAGAGAATGTCATTGAAACAAATGAAAATACAAACTGGATTTGCCCTGTCTGCCGAGGAATATGCAATTGCAGTCGATGCAGGCGTGAAAAGGGGTATGCAGCAACTGGTGCAATCTACAGAAAGGTGAACCATTTTGAACCTTTTATGATTGATTCATTCCACCAGTAAAGGCTAGATTGCTCGCCTGATAATTACAAAAAATTCTCTTTTATGTATATATAAATTTGAGTTGGGAGATAGAGGTTTTCAGGGTTGCAGCATTCAATCCTAAGGAAGTTAACTTGTTTCCAGGTACTGCGTCTTGGTTACAAATCTGTGGCTCACTACCTTGTCAAAACTCGAATGGTAGTGACCACGAATATCTAAGCTCTGCAGATTCACCTTCCAGGAAGAGTACAGTGCCATTCACATAGTTCACTAATACTCTCTCAACTTCTCAAACTGATGATAACAAAACTTTGAAGGGGGGAGAACGCACACATTTTGACGGTGATGATGCATATTGTGATCAAGAAGATGTCAATGAGTGAAACAATGATAAAAGATAAGAGCGATTTTTGCCTGACAAAGACTGAAAGTGAAAAAGACCCTATATGTAAGCATATATTACTACATCAGCTCGATTAACAGTAAGCGATCTTTTTTTGTTTAGATATAAACATTTTGTAAGCATTTCAATGGTGGGAATCGCTTGTATTTTGCTCGTGGTTATTTTGCATCTTCGTTTTACTGATTATGATAACTGAGCACTAACTTAACAGTCTCATTTTTACCTCGTATCCTTTGAAAGAAAAATTACGACAGGTTTTTGCTTGCTTCTAAAAGTTATTCTGTTGTATTAGAATCTTATGTAGGAACTGTATCTTTTACTAAGTAGTTTCTAGCTAAAGAAACAAAATCCTTCAACTGATTGTTCACGATCCATTGTTTCACGAGGGGAAATTAAAGGTAACAAGGTGAGTAACTCTGGTTCTTCAGCATTTCCATGTTTAGACCTGGGAGACGTATGCAAGTAAAACCTTCTTTCTTTGATAGCTTTCTCTTCTTCCACTTTATTTATCGTCTCAATGGATGGAGAAGCTCGTTTGTTTGAACGAGTTGAGGGACTTGGGATGATGATGGGCTGAAACTGTGAGTTAGTAATCTCTATGTCTGGTCTTCGACATTGTCTGCGATGGTGAAGCTTTGATGTATTATGCTGCTTTTGAGCTTTTGAAATGTTTGTTGCTGCTGCAATTTCGAGATTTCCATCAATACATTCAGATGTACCAGTTAATCGTTGAACAACTTCTCGAAAGCAAGATAAGTCTGCCTGTACGAATGTTGTCATTTCTTTCGATAACCTTGTATGAATTGTCGTCATCTCCATTGTGTTCACTGATTTTTTGTATCTGCAAAACATTCTTCCTCATTAGTATGCTTCCATCTTCCCTAGCTAGAAATTGCCTACGATTAGTATCTCGATTTTTTGAGCTACATACCTAAATTATCAGGTGTTTGAGTTTTTTACTTGATGATGATATTTCAGGTAGAGAATTTGTGTGATTTTGACCTTCAAACTCTGCTAAAATCAAGAATCATTCAATACAATTTAAACATATGACGATCAAAATAGACTCATAACAATGGTTTTTGAAAAATCAACATATTTCATTCAGTAAACCTTCAAATTATACAGAATATCAAATATAATTCATAAAATTCTGATTCTTTTTCTTATTGTAAATGGAATATAAAATGAAAAAGACTTGACAAATGCACCTCTGCAAATCAAATTAAGTTTCTTCAAGGTGAGGAAGAGGAATCAAGCAATGAAAATAACCACAACAAAATAATAACGACGATGAATAGAGTTTTAAGATTTATGAATTATCAAAATATTTTTAAATACGAAACTAAAATATAATCTTTGGAGGGAAAAAAAACCGAATTCAAAGCGTCTAACAAGGAGGTTGACTTATTTTAAACCTTAAATTGGTCAACTTCCAACATATATATAGCTTTCAACCGTTGAATATTTGACCACTTTCCCTAATAAATAAATAAATAGTTTTTACGGAGATCTTCATTTTTACAAAAAGTTCGTCCTCGTATCAACCAAAAACAAGAAATATTGCAGGATTTCAATTCATTGAGCAAGTTTTTTCCAATATAAAGGAACCAAAAATGCAGTTAGTCTATGACTGTTTCTGTGCTCGTAAATGTACATATTTTGGTATATTGTCAACCAAAAACAAAAAATCGCCAATAATGAATTTCTATTTCGATTCCCAAGCATACATAGCCATGTAGTCATTATCTTGTATCTTTGAAGAATGAATCCGGTATTTCCAGAGGAGAAGACAATGTTGAAACACATTTGAACTGTTACACGAAAAAATCATACAACGTTCACATCAGATTACTGAACTATGAAGGCGTTAACAACAAAATCACCAATTATCAGACACACGCGGAATAATACCTTATGCAGCTTGTATTTGTCCCTCAAGGCTGTTAAAGTACGTCCTCTTCTGCTTAATTGCAAGTCGTGTATGATAAGAACACATTCCTTTAAATCCCCTGGTCTATATCCCGAGCAACGTTGAAGGGCTAGACTCTGTATAATGAATAGAGTTCATTATCAGTGTTTTCATATATCAAGGTACTTAATATAAACGAACGTTGGATCAAAATCCTCACCCAAGGATGTGACTTTGGCTGTAATGTGAACCTTGAAAGGAATAACACAGCAGCAGCTACCAAAGACGGCAAGAATTTCACACAGTTGTAATCCAGTAAACTTAACTCTGCTAGGTAGTGACCTAGAAACTCTAACTGCAGATTGTTTTTCTGTAAAAACAATAAAATTAGCAAACATTTAACGTGAATACAATTGAATTGAAAATCATAATGTTCATGTCATATTTGAACACTTACTTTGTGATCTTGTTTAGCAATTTTGGTAAATTGTCTGCATACCAAAGCAAAAAAGAACGGTCATATCAGTCGAGAAACCATAGATCATTACAAATGCACGTATAGTTACTCGCAAAACAGCTACCTACTCGAGAAATGTCTTGATTGTGGGATTTCCCATTTCAAATTTGAGGCATTTTAGCACATCAGCCTCCATCTTTACCATCTCTTTCTTTGAATACGAATTGTCTGTAATATAACAAAATTCCCCAACATCTGGAGGATTAATCTCCTCGTACTTCCTGATAATTATTAACAGATCATATTAGATTCGCAAGCAAAACACACATTGCCACGGAGGCAGGGGAATAAAACCAGTTCTTGGCTCAAGTACTTACGCAGCAATGAGCATTGAAGAAACACCCAAAAGCTGAAGTTTCTTCCTAGGGATGACATTCACTGATAAGAATCTATCAATGTAGGAAACAGCAAGATACAACGTATCCGAAAGTAGCTTGTATTCATCAGTGACTTCGACCAGCCAGTCCACTAAAACTCCTCTCATGTTTGCACTTACATCCTTCTGAACTTTCTCAAGGTAATCAGGCAATGGTCTTCTCTTTTTCTCAATCTGATTCGAAAAACCACAGAGTTAATCAAAAACTCAAAAAACCAACAATCAAGATTTGATAAAAATCCAATCTTTAGACTACCCATTTCCAAATTCATCCATAAGAAACCAAATCAAGCTCTATTAGCTAACACCCAAATAAATAAAGATTCAAAAATTTATAGAAAAAGAGTAAATAAAAATGCACCAACCTCCATTTGATGAAGATAATCATATATATCAGAAGCATAAGCACTACACATCTGTGGGTCATCATCAGAGGTTTTCAGCTCCCTCTTAATAATTTGTTCACATTTGGGTCTCAGAGGCTCAGAAACAAACACCTTGTCCTCAATCTGATTAATACCCACATTACACAAATCTTGAATCTCACTCAACACAACTCTCTTCTTATTGGGTTGTTGCAGCTGCTGAACCATTGCTTCTGCTGCTCTTTTCTTAGTCAATCGAGTTACTCTTACAAAATTTTCTTGATCTGCCATTGTTTGCTACTCCCTTTTCCTCTCTCTGTGCGTATGATGTGGGGAGAGTTGAGTTGAAAGAAGAGGAAGAAAAAGAGAAATGTGTATATATATGGCGCCATATTCAGCTGAAAAATTTTCAGTTTTGGCGCTGTGGGTGGCATTGGGTTGTCTTGTTGAGGCAAATTTTTGGCTAATTGTTTTTTTATTTTTCAGATTGAATTTTGAAAAGTGAGATTTGGATTTCCCTCCATTACTTTCCCTTTTTGAGAAATCAATGGAGAGAGAGAGGGGGTGGGCTTTTTTATTCAAGAAACTTTTTCTTTCAAACAAAAAAAAATTAGCGCAAACTGTTAGGTTGTGGAGCCTGATTAATATATATAACTGTTTACGCGTTTAGGTTTTACTATTTATTCTATATATAACTGTTTAGGCTTTACTATTTATTCTCTGTAACCAAAAATACTCTGATTCATTTTAATATAAATACACCCCACCGCCGTGGAAGTTTACTTAGGGGGTGTTACCACGAAATATTGGGTTTTCTCGTTCTCTCTCTAAATCTCTCATCTCTTTCTCTTGAAAGTTCTTGTGTTCTTCATTCATCAATTGTGTGTGCGTGAATTCGATCCTAACACAAACTACATAAATCCAACGACTTTAACTTATAAATTATTAGGGTTCACGAATGTTTTTATATCAGGTTTTGGATTCGAGATGATGTATCATTAAAGCCTAATTTATCATGATATCAGAGCAGAGTCCGTCTCATCCGATATTGGGATTCTCAAAATCAAAATTGTCCACGCACAAGATGCTAAGCACTGGGCTTGAGATGAGTATTAAAAAATGACAAAAGTTCAACATCGATGGATAATGAGATAGGTGTATTCCTTATAAGACTTGGGTAATTCTCCTCCATTTGAGTCAGCTTTTGGGGTGTGAGCTAATTTAACATTTATACAATCCCTATGACGTGAGTGCATTTTTCCCATATAGATTTGCAGAGGCTGAGTCTTTGAACTCCTTATTGAAAGTCTGTATCTCATATGAGTGGAATGTCAAATTATATGAGTATTCTTGACATATTTCACTCATGTGAGTGTGAAAGTAGATCGTTGTCTATGAGAATAAGTTTGTTTTCAAAAACACACAAGAAAATTGTGATAGCACACATGCTAGCTAAAAGAGACTATGTCAACACCTTGATTATTATGTAAGCAGTAATACTTTATTTCCCTAAATCAGTCATAGTTCAAAGCAGTTATAATGTGGAAGCTAACAAAGCAAACCTCGAAAGAACAGGAATAAGAAGATAAATGAGAAATATACCAAAAGACACAAAGTTTAAACGTGATTTGGTCAATCGACTTACATATTAGTGTGGCATTTTAATATAATAAAAATATATATGTCACATAATGTATCATGTTGGGATTTGTTTTCACGGAGGGAAGGGTCTGGTAGCGTGAGGCAGAGAGGAGAAAAAAGTGAAAAAAATGGGGTCTTGGGGTGGTGGACTTGTCGAGTTCCGAAAGAGTTCCGGTGACTTGCTGGAAAAAATTAGGAACAATAAAAGAGAACTTTTTGAAGACTCCACCCCCCTTAACTTAATGACCAAGTTGTTGAAATTAGGTCTTATGTCTAACTCGCACTCGAAAAAATTTCGATATCCTAAGGTTAATCAAAGTTTTGCACATGGGATGGACGCCAAGAAGGTACTGTTGTTCATCTTGTATTTCAAACATACTTAGAACAAAACTTTGAACACTTTTATAAGACAACAAAGTTTAAGAACATTTTCACAACTAGAAAATTAAAACTAGTAGCGAAACTAAAATTAGAAACATATTTAAAAAAAATATATGAAATATTTTTCTTAAAGAAAAATTGTTGTTAATATGTGTCTAAATAATCTTACTGATTCCAACAAACTTTGCAGAAACACAAAGTTACCAAGTTTAATGAACCAGTGAAGTACAAAAAATAGAAAAACTGAAATTAATTCACAAATCTAAAATTTGTAAAACACATACCAGAATCTGGAAAAATTTTAATAGGAAAAAGATCAAGTTCACTGAACTCACAGTGTCCCCTTAAGGAAATTATTCCCCTCTAGTATCCGAGGTTTAATTTGGAATATGACCTCTCAGGGTAAAATGATTGCAATCACCAGAGTATAGATATCAAAAACTCCGGTGTCAGCGAACGACTCAACGGCAGTAAAGTACACTTAGAATACTAGATTTAGTAGTTGAAGAAGAAGTCCATGAATTCTCTATTAAAATGAGAGGAAATCCCTCAATTTATAGAAAACAAAGGGTAGTGCGAAAAAGGTTCTTATTGTGCCTTATCGGAAAGGTCGCAAACCTTTGAAAAAGTCATAATTTTTCAGAAAGATCGTCACCTTTAATAAAAGTCACAACTTTCCATAAAAGTCATAACTTTTCATAAAAATCGCAACTTTTCATAAAAATTGCAACTTTTCATAAAAGTCACAACATTTCATAAAAGTCACAACTCTTCATAAAGGTCGCAACTCTTTATTTTCCATTCACACCTTTTTAAAACCAAACAGGTACTCCAATAGGCTATCGCCTAACAATGCCACGTTAATTAATACTAAATTATTATCAACCGCAATCGTTTAATCACAAGTACTTCCACCTTGCTGTCCAAAGATGATACACTAACGGTTCAAAATCGAATCAAACCGATCGATATAGAGTACTCCATAAATCATCAGCCAATCTTTTATCTTAAATTCAGTTTCTACCTAAGTAGCTACACCAACCATGGAAATTTCATACTACATCCTCATCTTCATATCCCTTTACTTGCTAAAGAACCATTTCCTTAGAAAATTCCAAAATCTCCCAGCAAGTCCATTTATCTCTTTGCCCATTATAGGCCATCTATATCTACTCAACAAAAAACCAATTCATAAAACATTAGCCAACATCTCAGAAAAACATGGTCCTTTGCTATACCTCCGATTTGGATCGCGTCCTGTCCTGCTTATCTCTTCCCCTTCTCTAGCAGAAGAATGTTTCACCAAAAACGACGTTGTTTTTGCCAACCGTCCGAGGCTGCTTGCTGGAAAACATCTTGGTTACAATTATACCACTCTTCTTTGGGCCTCCTATGGCCAACGTTGGCGCAATCTAAGAAGGATATCTACTCATGAAGTCTTGTCCACTCAGAGAATTCAAATGTTTGCTGATATTCGTAGAAACGAGGTTCACACTCTACTTCAAAGACTCGTAAGGGGGAAAAGCTGTGGTGGAGATCCTAACACAAACGTGGTGGATATGAAAGCGGCTTTCTTTGAGATGACACTGGATAACTTGATGATGATGATTGCTGGGAAGCAATACGATGGCGATTCTGATGAGAAGTTGGAGGCATCTAGAAGGTTTAAAGAGATTGTCACAGAAAGTTTCAAAGTGAGTGGTGCAACAAATATAGGAGATTGTGTGCCTCTTCTTAAATGGATTGGCGTAAACAAACTTGAGGATAAGGTGAAGTTACTGCAGGAGAAGAGAGATAAATTCATGCAAGAATTGATTGAAGAGCATAAGAACCGGCGAAAGGGATCTTCTGTGGAGCAAAGTAACAATACCATGATTGATGTTCTCTTATCCCTCCAAGATTCGGAGCCTGACTATTGCACGGATGAAGTGATAAAGGGCATGGGAATGGTCATGTTTACAGCAGGTACCGATACTACAGCTATTACAATGGAATGGGCATTATCACTTCTTCTGAACAATCCCGAGGCACTAAAGAAAGCTCAAAATGAAATCGATACTCACATCGGAGAGTCATCAAGATTACTTGATGATTCAGACCTTGCTCAACTCCCTTATCTCCATGGGATTATAAATGAAACTCTCCGAATGTATCCAGCTGCTCCATTACTTGTACCACACGAGTCCTCGGATGAGTGTGTCGTTGGAGGTTTTCATGTTCCTCGAGGTACAATGTTGCTAGTGAATTTGTGGGCAATACAGAATGATCCTAAATTGTGGGACAAGCCAAATGAGTTCAAGCCTGAAAGGTTTATCGATGTCAAAGGTCAACGAGACGGGTTCAGGCTAATGCCATTTGGATATGGCAGGAGAGGATGTCCGGGTGAGAATTTGGCAATGCATGTTGCTGGCTTGGCATTAGGATCACTTATTCAGTGCTTTGAATGGGAAAGAGTAAGCGAAGAGCTGGTAGACATGACCGAAGGAACTGGACTCACTATGCCGAAGGCTATACCATTGCTAGCAAAATGTAGGCCACGCCAAAATATCGACAACCTTATTGCTCATTTGTAATCACAATTCTCCCCTGCACTCTCTCTTTGCAGACATAATGAATAAACACATAAAGCTAATGCTACATTTGTCTAATTAAAAAAAAACTGAGGCAAAAGTATCATCTAATTTTCAAGGCAAAATATAGACATAACATTTCATTGTGACAATCATGTTTTATGTGAAACTGATCTTTGATGTTATGTTATATTATATGTTTGTTATAACAACATTTCGTCATAGAAGCCAAAGACTTTGGGACAAACGAGGCTGTTACAGAGAGATTTGACTGTAGTATTAAAATGTTACTCTTACTCCAATACACTATCGCCTATCGATGCACAAAAGGTAAATTAACCGTAAATTATCATCAACCCCAATCGTTTAACGATAAGTGGCACCTTGCTGTCCAAACTCTAAAGATGATAAAGTCAAATAATGCTGATAGCAACACATAACTATAAACCAAGACCTTGCACTCCATAGATCATAAGCCTAATTATCTTAAATTCAATTCCTACCTAAGTAGGCCTAATTAAGTATTCTGTTGGTTGGAGTTACTGTATGAAGTATCTACACCAATCTCTTACCTCCGATTTGGATCGCGTCCTGTCCTGCTCATCTCTTCTACTTCTCTTGCAGAGGAATGTTTCACCAAAAACAACATTGTTTTTGCCAACCATCCGAGGTTGCTTGTTGGAAAACATCTTGATTTCACTAAAAAAAAAATACAACTTTTAGCAGCAATAAATATTGACATTAATAAAAAGTGTTAAAGTTTTTACCGACATTAGTTAAGTATCATTAGAACCAATGTCACTAAAGGCTTTAGGGACGTATACAAAGAGTGTTAATTGTAGTGTTTCAATCATACACGTCTTTCTTGGGCTTCATGTGGCCAACATTGGCGCTACGTAAGACGGATATCCGTAAAGATGATCATGAGGTTTCGCGCTCAGCTCCAAATGATGGTGGAGATCCTAACGCTACAATAAAAATGATTATTAATGGCATTTAATTTTTAATTGCCAC